AAATTTAATACTCAAAGGTCGATTAAGGAAAAGTTGTAAATATATATATATATTCGCATAAATTATATTAAAGATATAGTTCTTTTTGGTTAGGAGGAAAGGAGATGTTTCACTGTATAAATTAAACAATTTTTATTTCAATTGGTTTTGATCTACTTTGTTTAACTTGGTTTAGAAACTTGATTTTTTTAAATTTAGAACTATATTAAATAAATATAGCCAGTAAATATACACAAATTAGAAATAATGACATGAACAGATTTGTCGAGACACTATCCAATGATAGCCCTCCCTCAATAATTCTAAGTAAGAAGATCACGAGGCCATCCTATTTTCAGACGCCTAAGAGAATTATCTGCAATTGAGGAAGAAGCAAGGCTGGAAACAAGTGGATTCGGATGGGACTAGAATTTTCTCATGAAAGGATATATATCCTGCTTGGGCTAAATCAGCGACACATGGAACATTAAATTCTTTATGAGTGGTTTTATTGGTGACGAAATATAGGATTTTGGATTGTAAGGATTGGATAAGATAAGAATTTGATGGGGCCCCAAAGCTCAACTCTATGTGTCCATATAGGTCTTAGTATCGGTATGTAAATGAGTCTTTTATAATTAATTGAAAATTTAGAGCGTTTATTTAGTAGGGATTGGAGCAGCCGAAAACGTCGAGAAGTTTCTTGTCGTTTCACTCTTGTATGCGAATTCCAAATAAGACATTTGTCCAATTGGAATCCTAGGTAACGAATTTGTTGAACAGGGACAAGTGAAATATATCCGCACTTTGTAAGACATTGCGGCTACATGTATCCGCTATTGAAGGATATTGTAGGACAAGTCGTAGGTTTACGATGGAGAATAAAGTTGATTTGATGGGATTTATTTTTGCTCTCCAGTTTTTTCACCATTCTTCAATGTTTGTGATATGTGGCTGAAGGGTTTGGGATGCAATTAAAGATTCATTATTAACTGATAGGATACACGTGTCATCGGCATAGGTGGGCATCGAAATGAGTGACGACAGTATTAGGATGGGTTGGGATATCAGCTGTATAAAGGATAGGACTGATGATGCTATCTTGAGGAACATCAGCAGACTGGGAAAAGAGGGATGAACATGCATAATTGTAATTTACTTTGAACTATCGATCAGTAAGGTGTGAACGGATAATGAGGAACTATGTAGGTGGTAGGAATTTACGGAGTTCGTACGGCAGTCCTGGGTGCCAGACTCTATCAAATGCCTGTTCAACGTCCAGAAAGACTCCCGTACAGTACATTCTGCGCTCCAATGCAGAGGACTACGTCTACCACACGACATTGCTGGATAATGGAATGTGATGTGTGGAATCCATATTAGTGATCAGAGATTATGTTATTAGAATCTAGGATGGCGTTTTAAGATGATTTTTTTCAGGATTTTGCCCATGATAGGTAATAGAGAGATAGGACAGTAAGAGGATGGGTATTCAGGTGGCTTTTTGGTTTTGTGGATCATTTTGACAATAGAAAGTTTCCAAGGGGAAATATCTGAATCAGAGCACAGAATTGTGGATATAAGTAAGGAATGGCTTTTCGAGGAAGAATTTTTAAGATTTGAGATGTAATTAGGTCATGTCTAGGAGCTTTGAGTGAAGGTAATCTGTGAATGATGTGCGATATTTCTGTGGGATGGAATACTTTAGGTGGAATGGACATTTGAAGAGAAGTATCAAATTCTGCATCAATGAATTTCAGGTGAGTTAAATTAAGGATATTAGGATGAGGATTGAAAGTTTGGAAGAGATGTTGACCAAATATTTGGGATTTTAATTCGACGGATTTGAACCAAGTTTGAGATTCAGTAAGGAGTGAGTGATTAGGGGACGGGATGGCCGAATGGGCTAACGCGAGTGCATAGCACCACGAGTTGACCGACAACCAGATAACCTAAGTTATGAAATTTAAAAAAAAAGTACGAATTCGCGTCCCGGTACCAGAAATTTTAAATTCTCCGCCCACACCCTCTGGCCCGGGAAAATCCCGTATAACCTAAAAAGGCGTGGTAGAGAAGTCTTCAAACTTCAGAAGCTTTTTGGTGGTCTTCCATAGCGATTCGTCGGTAGTTGTAAGATTTTCAGTCAAGTTAAGTAATTTTTTAGTTTTGAATTTTATAATTTCTACTTTTAGTAGAAATTATAAGTTTTATTAGTCAATGTGTTATAGTAGGTTTTATCTGTAGGATATCTAGTTCTATGCTCTGCATTTCGAATATGTTGTGGCAAGTTGATATGCTGTGTATTTTTGTTTTTATTGATGGATGTATTATCATTTATACTGATTGCTATTAATGTGGTCAGTTTTTCAATGGCTTTGTTTAAGTCTTAAGCGGAATTTTGAAGTCCAATTTGTTTTCAAAATCATCACGAAATTTATCCCAGTCAACTCGATCTGTAATCAATTTTGGAGGGGAGTGATTAGGAGCGAAAGTTGAGTGTAAAGAAAGCAGAACTGGACTATGATCTGAAGAAAATCATCCAGGGATTTGATTGTGACAGGGGAAGAGGAAATCTGGGCGGTGACAAACATGACCAGGATATCAGGGCATTGTTTGAGGAATGTTGTCCAATAGTTAGGATGATCGAGAGGATAGAATAACTGTTGGATGGATGATACATGAGATAGGATATTACCATGGGAGTTGGATGTTCGACAACCCTATCGTCGGTGTTTTGCATTATAGTCTCCTCCAGCAATAAACCACGGTTCGAGGGATTGAAATAATGAATCAACATTGTTATTGGAGAGGGAATTACCCTCTTAATACCAGGAGCACAGTATACAGCTGAGAATGTGAAGTGGAAGGTGCAAGTTGAAAGGATTACCAAGGTTGATTGAATGGTGTCAGTTGGAGTGGAAGGAATTAGGGAATGTGATAAGGATTTATGGATAAGGATGCAAGAGCTGGCGTGGGAAGTTTTGTCTGGGAGGTCTGATCTGTAAATGAGGTTGTCACAGATGTTAAAGTTTGACTGTTGAGTGAAATGAGTTTCCGTCAGGACGGCAATGTCAATGTGATTTTCTTGAAGAAATGTGTCTAGTTGGTCACGGTGGTTTTATAGTCCATTAAAGTTCCATAACAGGATATCTAGGGGCTTTATGTTCATCATGGAAAATTGAATGGAATTTCGGAAAGGAGTCTAGTGAGAAGGGTGATGAGTGGTTTCATAGTATCTTGAATATGTATCAGGAAGGATGTTAAGATCCAAGTGATGTCGGTTGGTTTGTGGTTGTGAAGTGGATTTGGAACAGTAAGCTGCAAAACATAATTTGTGCGATTAGGAATGTTGGCAGGTAGATGTGTACGACGTGGTGTACAAGGAGTTGGATCTAAATTCTGTGGTTAGGAGTCTTCAGATCAAGAACGGATGAAACTTGGTGTGTGTTCTCTGGCAGAAGTTTGATTTTTATGAGTAGACAATGAGCAATATTTTGCAAACATGGAGGTTGAGGCGGAGGATTAGAAGTTTTGGGAGGCCCGAGGAGCCTGACATTGAGGCTGCTGCTTTCTGATGGTAGACAGGGAATGAAGAGTTCTGTTGAGGTTTAGAAACAGAAGGTTGAGGCAAAAAGAGAAACAGAAAAAAAGGCTGAGTTGAGTCGCTGATTTCGGCAATACTGGGAAAGTATCCCGATTTTCGACTCAGGTGCCTCCGTGGTGTTTTTCTGAGCAGATGAACTAACGCTTTTCATTGCAATGTTACACGATCTCTGCTTGAGGAGATTTTTATATACTTTGCAGCCTCTGTAGCTTGCAGGGTGAGCTTCGCCACAAAGCACATGTTGCAGCCTCTAGCCTAGGTTTCTGGCAAGTGTCAGATGGATGTGGCCCTGCACATTTAATACATCTTTATAAAAAGATTTCATTGTGGTTATTTTTATTTCTTTAATTACCCTTATATATACATACAAATTTTAATTTTTATATTGCTGCAGTCTATACAATTAAATATTAAATAATACCACCGATAGCATTTATGAAAACCGCATATGTATATGTTCATAATATTGTGGGAGTTCGTATTATATTAAGCTCATGTTAGGTATGGAAGACTTCTAATCTTTCGGGCTCACTCATATTCCTTTGGTTCCTCCATTACAACTATTATCCATTTATTTCTCCTTTAGTTAATTATCAAATTCTTTCATATTTTATATTTAATTATTTGTATATATAAAGATTAATGTGAAATGGTTAATTATTTCAAATAAAAAAAATTAAAGGTACTTTAGAAGAATCTCGCATTGAAAATTAGCCATTTAAGCCCTGTTAGAGAACATCAATAAGAATAAAACCTACATTATATTAAAAACTGCTTAATAATATACTGATTTTAGTAAATCTAATGATTTTGATTAAACTCAGTAGTTTAATCAGAATCGTTAGAGCCGTTTTTGAGAAAATCATAAAAATGTATTGAATTGATGATATAAAATACCACTTCCAGTTTGCTGATACATGGTTATTTGGACTCAGGAGACCTCAAAATATGCATTTCCATTGAAAACTCAGATTCCAAAATTTTCAAGATCACAATACTTATCCTTACTTACATATATAGATAAGTGAAAGTAAAAATTAAAAGACTCATAATGATTAAGAATAATATATATTATTTATAAATAATTTACATTCGTCGTAAAGTAAATCAAAGTAATGAATACAATTTTATAAATATTATAGACAAATAAACAACAAAAACATTAAAACTCATGAGTATTGCATAATATCAGATAAAATAACATAATTCAATCATACATCCACGATATGTATCCATTTACAAATAACTTTGTTATTATATACTATATATATATCCATATATACAACCATTAGCTAATACATTTCCTTTAATAAGAATTTTCCCTAAGGTATTTCAGTCATTGCATTCCTAAAGCACTAATTATATTAATCTTAAAACCATGTAGAGGACAAGGATTTCATTTTTTAATCGACTTGCATTATTATGACCATTAAATATTGAAGTTTAGTTTATAATCATATTTAAAAAAAGTCTTTTCATTGTGTTTCTTTTGTATGGCGACGTTTTACATGTCTCTTTATGTGATGGGAAAAGACAGATCCATAATTGCAATATGGACATTGGAGTGGTTTTTCATTGAAATGGACACTCATGACATGTCTCTTCAGGGCGCCAGCGTGGACCGTCGCATAGCTACAATGTGAACACTGATGTGGCTTCTCTTCGGTGTGAATTGACATGATATGTCTCTTCAATGTAGTACCAGTCACAGCAGTATAATCACAGTGAGGGCAATGATGAGGCTTTTCTTTTGTGTGTTGGGCCATGATGTGAGTTTTTAAATTGAAAACGCTTACAGCTCCATATTCACAATGGGGACAACGGTGGGGTTTTTCTTTTGAATGAATTGACATTATGTGCCTTTTTAAGTCAGTACTAGTGACAGTAGCGTAATTGCAATGTGGGCACCTATGAGGTTTCTCTTTCGAGTGCCGATGTAATGTGTGGCTTTTTAATTTGAGATTAGTGTCTGACGTATAAACACAAAAAGGGCATTTAAATATTTTAGGTTTCGATTGTTGATCTGTACTCTTTATATTCTTCTGGTTAGAAACTCCAAGATCAAGAGGGTAGTTAACAAGTTCCTTCTGCGATTCTTTATCACCTGAAATAAAACAGGGTCTTGTTTTAAATTAATTCATAATCTACATTTTAATTCTAATTCATTCTTTTAACTGAAAAACTAGAAAAATAAATAAATAAAAAGAATGAGGCTACCAACCACCATAACTAACCAAGTATACCACTTTAATTGATTTTCAAATATTGAATTAAGTAAATGTTTATCAAATGACTTTTCTCAAAGGCATTTTCCCTAAAATAATTAACTTAAAAGAGAGTATTATGAGTAATGGAATTACTTCAAGTGACAGATTAAGCAGCAATAAAATTTAAAAAAGTAGTTTAATAAATTGGTCCGAAAGTTATTTGCCTTTTTAACGGTCTTAAGCTAACATGATATAATAATTCAATAAGAGACAAATAAAATGATACTTTGGTGATAATAATCCCAGACTTGAACAAAAGAAATTAAAAAAAAATATTGAAATTAATTTTATATAAAATTGAGTATAAATCAACCTATATGAAACCAACAAATGATGGTTGCACACAAAATTTATTTTTATTTTCCCTTATATATATATATATATATATATCGTGAAGTGAGGTAAAAGAAAACTAAATTTCATGATTTCATTTTTATTTTTATATTTTATTTCTCAAAGATTTTTTATTTTTATTTTGGCACACCTTATTTTGATAAATTCTTCATCTAATCCAACGATTGAGCTGTTGTTTTGAAGATTACGCTCCTCTTCAGATGCGAAAAATAATCAGATATCCCAGAAAAGTGAGGAAAAAAAGAAAAGGAAATTTAATTCGTTCATAACACTAAAATAATCCTGCAATTTATTGCCCTAAAATCCCTATATATATATATACATATTTAAGTTTTATATATATAACTTTTTGTTTGTTCAAGAGTAATAATTTCATCTATTCTTAATGTTGATTAAGTTAAGATTATATGTAAAGATAATATTAGGACTAAGCATTATATTTTAATATGCTAAAGAAAGATCATTTTGTTTATATCAAACACACAAATAATTATACCATAACACACTAAAAGTTATACCAAACACACTAATTTTATTTTATATATCATATTATATTATATATGGTTTTTACTATTAGTATCTTATAGTAAATATAGTTTTAAAAATAGTATAGTTTTAATAATTAGGTATCACATTTATGTATATTCTTATAAATGTATATGTATAAAACTCAACTCCATTTGTATGGGTTCGCCCGAAAACAAATAAAAAATGTATTATATTTATTTAATATTTACTGTAATATATGTTGAGACATAATTCTGACTTAATTCATGTTAATTTATATCTATTCATAACCATTTATCATTATTGGTACAATATTCAATATTTTAAATACTTTTTACTTTATATATGAAAAATAATTAATATAATTTCTCTTAAGAAATAATTTTTAGAATATAATTAGAAAAAAAAATTCTGAAAAATAAAATAAAATTTTATTTGTAAATAAATTAAATTTGGAATGTCATATGCATACTTGTAATAATGTCTCATTAGGGAAAATACAACCTAAGTGATGGTACCTGGTGCTTAAATTTTACTGGCTAATTTCTATACAAATAAATAAAATTTAAAAAAAAGAATATTTCATGCATAAAAAGGATTTCAGTTATCGAAGTCACATCATTATATAAATAGGCAAACACCAATCGGTTCAGCCCCTTTTACTCCTCTATTATTCAACTGATTTTCTTCATTCTTTTTTTGTTTAATAGATATTGACGAGCTTTAGTGTTATCAATAAATAAAAATATTAAATAGTAAGTAAACAAAAATATAAATGGTAGTTTGTTCAAAACGGCTTATCTCCGAAAGTTTTTCACCGATTTCTTTTAAATTTTGACACAACGTCGCAATAATATTTGGAAGTTTTATTGTATACGTTTCATTATCATCGGGCCTTTCCTTTCAAAATGGCGGCCGAAAAACGTGAACCGCTTTAGACTGTAGCGCCAATAAGGCTTCAACGATTTCAATGAAACTTGGCTAAAGTCTTCCCCTTGAAACCTTTATAATTTACGTATATAACATACTTTCCCAAAAACAAGCTGCATACATTTTTATGATGAATTCAGTATTTTATTTGCGAATAACTCAAAAAGTACACATTTTTTTTTCGATAATACCAATATTTATTTAAAAGCTTCCTGAATTCCCTACAAAATAAAAAAAAAAATCATCGAAATCGGACTATTTGTTGCTGAGATATACCAGTTTAAACATTGCTAATAAATTAGTTTAAATATTTCTTTTGCAAAAAAAGTGAATTGAAATCGCTAATTTAAATTTATTTTTTACTAGCTTAATCATAACATTAATTTATTGTGATAATAATACATATAAATTAAAATGAAAATTAAATATTTTTGAATGAGTCTATTTTGTATTACTTATAAATAATTTTAAATGACTTAAGCTCAATTTTTAATTGAAATTGAAATTTTGTTTGTATTAATAAATGAGGATTTTTGAATCATGATATACTCTTTATTTATTTTTTATTTAATTATATCTTTTCCTCAAATTTTTAATGATGGTCGAATTTCGACCACTGGGCAAACACTAAATTCAATAAATGTTCGAAAATACCACCATTGACCTCTAACAATTTGGATGAAAGGTTTCCAAATCATTGAAAGAAAAAGAAAAAATAAGTGAAAAGGTGTGTCTCATATCTTACCACAACTAGGTGGTTCATCTTTTTCCAGCTCCTGCTTGATAATAACTTCGCAGGCTACAACAATAAGGCAAAATCAGTAAGTAACATTGATCACCCTCCTTTAATTTTCCTATTGTAAAACTCACCAACTGGTTCTTCATAATCTAATCTATCTTTTACATCCTCATTGGAATAGTCTTGAGCTTGAAAACAAAAATGCACAGCTGAACATTAAAAGAGGGTTCCAATTATAAGAGAAATATAATAATAGAGAATATGACTAAATGCCTAAATTTAAATTCTGCAAAATTAGTAGATTATATTTTATGTATGTCATCGATTTATTGCAAAAGATCATTAAGTGACATTTCATAACTTTAAATCATTAAGAACTTTCATGAATTTTCCCTTTGTAGAATCAGGAAATTGTGTGCTTGTTGTAACTATATTTGGTACATAAAGGGGTCTTTTTAGTTTACTTATTGTGTTTTATAAATTGATAAATATGGTTAAAATTCACAAGGGGCGGGGTGGCCGAATGGGCTACAGCGTGTGCGGGAGTTGCCTGGCAACCGGATAAGAGATTTGAGAAGATTAAAAAAGTATGAGTTCGCATCCCGGTGCCGGAGGGGATTTTAAATTCTCCGCCCCCACCCTCCGGCCCAGGAAAATCCCGTATAGCCTAAAAGGCGAGGTAGGGAAGGAGAAAAAAAAAAAAAAAAAACCTACCAATCCATTAAGATACAGTCCACTGCATAAAATTAGAATGTTGCCTTATTGAAACTCAATTGAAAGGTTAAAATTCACAAAAATGTTTTATAAGTTTAGCTCCATCAAAAATTAATTTAGTGACTTTTGTTAAATCGATGTTATATTTTTGAGAATTAAGGTCTCATAATATTCAATTATTATAAATGCAAAAGAGAAAACTAAAACAGTAATTCAAACCCAACGCCATCAAAATTGGTCACTTTGCTCCGTAGAAATCGCATCACTTATTTCTTTTGATTCTTATGTTGATAACGTTGATTCCATTGAATGATTTTGTTTTTCTTTACTTATTTAGGTTACAAGAAAACTTTAACCATGTTTCTCAGCTCGATTTTAACTAATACCAAGATAAAAACTGTAATTATAACCAGTTTCAAAAATCCATCCTTGCCAGAAAATATTAAAATTGTGACTGTACATGAAGTGAAAAAGCACACTAAAGCGAAAGAAAGGAGCACTGGGAGCAGAAAAAAACAAACGAACAATTTGACCACTTAATGGTGCAATTGTTTTTAGAATATCGTTTCAAAACTGGCAAAGAAATATTTGAAGATGTTGCAGATAGCAATCTGGTAAATAAAATAAATTTTTTACAATTGCTATGACCGCAATATATATGTAATAAAGAAATAGAATAACAAAATTGTTTAAAAATTTACATTAGAAAAACATCACAAAAACTGAAAACAACAGTTCCGCAACCAATTTCCAATTACAAAAATATCAACATTACCATATTGGCACAACACAAAGGGGGAGGGTCTGCCGGCCTCCGGATCAAATTACAGCTATTATATGAGAATAAATAATTACCTGCCACAGCTGGATTTGAACCGGGGATCTGGATGTGTATAATATATTTTATTTTTTAATTGAATAAGATATTGGAATTTTTATGGAAATTATAAATCCACTAACAATGATTTTTTCGCCTAATTGATATTAAAATTTAAAAAATAAATAAATTTGTAAATTATTGTTATTCTAAATATTTTTTAAACTAAAATAATATTTTTGATAGACATAGCGTATTCAATTATATTAACTTATAAAAAAAAAAAAAAAAAAAAATAGAAAGCATTACAGAGAAAAAAAATGTAAGCATTAAATTACCACAATGAGACTGATTATCTTGCTCAATAGGTTCCTCCTTGATATAAATTTCACACACTAAAACAAAAGTGAGTTATTACTACACAAAGATATAATTTAATATCCACTAATTTTCAGTAAATAAAACTCAACTAACTTTTCGGATTTTCATTTGCTATTTCTCCTTTAATGATAATATCTGGACTGTGTGAACCTAAAAGAGTAAAAAACTTAAATAAATGCATTACAAAAAAATAAAAATTCAAAAAGCAGTATTCCATGGCTTTAGTAATCTTCAGTCAATAAAAGTCAACTTACTTTTTGGACTATCACTTCCTATTTCTCCTTTAACGATAATATCAGGACTGCTTGAACCTGAAAGTGTAAAACATAGTTAAACAGGTTATAAAATTTATAGTTAGCAAAAATTACAAGATAACAAAAACCAATTCTCAACCCTATAGTTATTAATTTATAGTTAGTAAACATTTTAAAAAATTCAAAAACCATTTTAGTAATCTTCAGACAATAAAATTCAACTTACTTTTTGGACTTTCATTTCCTATTTCTCCTTTAATAATAATATCAGGACTGCATGAACCTGAAAGTGTAAAAAATAGTTAAACAGATTTCCAAATTTAATAGTTTATACCAGAGGTCTCCAAACTACGGTCTCGAAAGTTTCTTTGATAAGATTTTGATAAAATGTGAAAACATATTTAAAAATATGAAATTTAACAAATTACCCACACATGAGGTTACTACAATATTTATTGTATGCTTATTTTTTTTTCTCTTAGAGAGCTCATGTCACAGCTGAAGTGATATTTATAAAACATGATATTTTCTTTTCTTCACCAATCATGGCCTGCGGAACTTAGTCGAGGTCTCAATTATAAATAACATGTTAAAGGTTAATTGTAAATCAGTTGTTTTTGGCGGGTATTGGTGAATAGCCTTCCGATTTTATCGGGGAGCTAGGTTATTTACACACGTGAATATTAAAACAAAACCCCATCACAGGATATAAACTTTTTGAGGGTGTTTAACTGTTGTTGGGAATTTGGGAATCTAATACCTTATGTGACACTGAGTGAGAAGAAACAATAAGAATACATATATGAAATGTGGGACTTAGTAAATACACTTTGAATGAATTGACTCACCTTGTTTATTATTCTTCAATTGTGAGGCCTATAGGACAACTAAATAAAAGGACTATTCACTCCTGTCTAACAAAACAATTTATTTTAACAACTGATAATAAATGAATCTATATAAGTGAATTGTCGACTTAATATTCTTGGTCTTCAATGTCCTGCTTCTTCTCAGGTAACGTCCTCTCGCCTCCGTGTCCCGGCCTCAAGTGCCCCTTCTCTCCCAGGCGTCTTCTTCCAGCTGCTGCTGCTACCTTGTTTATCAATATGAGACTTTTCAAAGAACAATTTGTCTACTGCAAAATTGAGTACAATTCACAGTGCAACCTCACATTCCTATATATTATATATTCCTTCTCATTCCCTCACACAATGTCATATAAAGAGCAGTAAATACCGGGGGATGTCTACTACACAATGTGGCCCGTTGGCCAAAAAGTTTGGAGACTTCTGGTTTATATCACTGAAACAATAGTACTTCATGGTTCATACTTAAACTAGTTTTCACTAATGCAAGTATGAACTTGTGACATATTAGTCTGCAGGAAATACCCCTTTTTATTCAAATTATTAACCTTTTACATGCCATTGTTCCAGAATTGGAACATATATTAAACAATTTTTCTGGCCAACTTAATCATTATTTTTTTGCAAAAACAATTTTTTGCCATCAAAATAAAGTATATTGAATATTGATTGTGATAGATTAATAAAAATAATGCATTTTTGAAAATTTGAATAAAAAAGTTCTACGAATCAGTTTTACTAATTTTATTTTTAATGTTCCACATACAGAAAAAATGGCAAGGTTCACAACATAGAAATGTTCAATCTATTCATTTTTTTCCTACATTGTTTTCTTAGTACAAAACTGAACACGGAAATGTATAGAACTACTGATTGCTATTCTAAAGTTTTCGATTTTCTGTATAATTACTTACCATAGAGAAAAATTGTAATTTCTTTTTTGTTACTGCATCAAGGTTCTTACTCATATTTTCTAATAATTAGGCATTTCATTCGTGACATTTTGGAAAAAGCAGTGGAATATTTGAATTATCAAAAATCATTGAGTGAATCAGGAAATGGATCTGATGAAGAAATTGATATATGCCAGCTTATTCCTAACAAAAACGAATGTCTAATAGACGAAGAAGACATTGAAGAGAATTGTTTGAAGCAAGTCATTCCCAAGGATATTTGTGGGCAAGTTGCATTATTTATTTAAAAAAAAAAAAATACTGATGATAATGGCACTTCTGATGATGCAAAGAACGCCTGAAATGCATTCATATTGATTCTTTTCCCCAATATCACAGATTGTAAATCGTATATTAGCACAACACATTTTTTTTTTTATTCCGTATTCTTCCATACGCATTTTCTATTAATTCTTTTACAAACAATTATAATATTTTACCATAATATAATAATAATTTTTTATCAATATTAATAAAAACAACACTATTCATGTATTGGAAAAAAAAAAAAAAACCTGTACCACTACAACCCATGAAGGGTCTTGGGTTCAGTACTACTTAGGAAAAGCACTGTTTCCAGGTCAATGGTTGTTCAAGGAGGTGATTTGACCGAGATCACGCTCAACCGCCAGGTTTCTCCCTTAATCAATTATTTAATTAAGGGTACCCACTTTATAGAGGCTGGGTGTGCCCCAGGAGGGTCTCCCGACCCAGGCTCATCCCATGGCCGATAAAACAGAATAAATTAATTTTCTGCCATAAGCCGGGATTCGAACCTGGGACCTTTAGCATTGGAAGCTCAGTACCCTACCACTGAGCTACGCTTCTTGTATTGAATATTCTAATAAAACTATTAAGAAAAATGTTCATTGTTTTTCTTTGTATAATCTGAACCTGCTAATGTTATACTTCACGAAAAAGTTGGATAAGCGCAAAGGAATTTTTTTTTTTTAGATTTTTTTACTAGAATCAGGGGGCAGCCTGTAAAAGGTTAATAGCCGTCCAAAACTTCATATCATTGTAACCTACAACTTTTTTATTTAAGAAATTTTTTATCTTCAATCTGCAGATAGGTAAACTTTGTTTAATCAATGAGGTACTAAAAACTCATGAACACCCATTTGCTTACCACTCTTATCATAAGATAATTTGACCACAAAATCGAGAAAAAAGGTGGCCTACAAAAATATTGGGCCGTTAGGCCTGACCTCCACCCCCGACATGTCAAAATAAAGAGATTATAGGGCCCAAACAGCCCAATATTTTAGAAGGCCACCTTATTTCTCAATTTTATGATCAAATTATCTTACAATTCAAGCGGAAAGTAAATGAGTATTCGCGAGTTTCTAATACCTCAATAAATGAATTAATTTAATGAGAAAACAACCCAATTTTGAGAATTTGTAGTTTTAGGTTTGAAATTGAAACAATTTGAAGTTGTAATTAACGATAAAATGAAGGCATTTATGATATTTTAGACGGATGCTAATAACTTGTTAAGAAGAGGTCCGTATCATTGACTATGAACATTGGTGTAAAAAAAAATAAAAACTTTTTTGTATAACATAAAATTAATAATAAATTCTACGAATTAGAACTTCAGAAAACACTTACAAAATTAGGAGGTAATGAAAAGCATAATTTAAACTAGAGGTGGACTGGAATGTATCAACTTCACTGATTCTAATTGGTAAAACGTATGCTAAAATGTGACGAATTGAAAGTATCAGTTACTTTTAGTCCTGGTCTGGTGTTCTACTGGACTAGCAAATGACCTTGATTGTTCCTCAGTTAAGGCTCGTTTACATCTGTCACTTTGTATGTACATCTTTTAACAATCATTTAAAGTAATGATGATAAGTGTAGATTGGCTTTCATTTTTGTCTAATTGAAAGCGCATATAAAGATGGATGATGAAATAAGTTGACTTATATCCCAGTTTAGAGAAAAGAGTAGATGGTTTTAATTAGAATGAAGGTATAATAAAAAATGTGAAAATCAGTTCTAAAAATCCTACATTGTGAATGAAATTGTTACAATGTGTATGGTTCCCTGCTATTTTATATATTGAACTTTTAATTGATTTGTCATAAAGTAATTGAGCTAATTAAATATTTATTTACTGAAATATTAACAAATTTTATAATATTTTACATTTATCAGTTTTAATGACATAATTATTTATTTCCACCCTATGCTGCTATGAGCAAAATTGATATGTGTTTCTGCATATCATTTAACAAATACAAAATTTACAGTTTTACAATAACTTGGTCATATTCATATTTTTCTTCGGATTTTGTCTTCTTATACAACTTCTCCATCCAGTGACTTTCCAGGAGTGGTTCCTCTTCACCCAAGGTTAATGTGGTTAAGGACAAATGAATTTCTTCATTCGCACACAAAGTCTTTGTGATACGTATAGTTTTGATCATTGACAAGCTGAGGAAAATCATTCTCTGTGAGGATATACAGTCACAAGTCTCATTTTAACATTCATTATGGTAACAGCAACAAGTAAAATAATTGTCACAAAGTCAGGATACTAAAGGATAAATTCATAATATATTAAAGTTTATTTCATATTTAAATTCTCATCTTCGACATCCATCACAAATTTTAATCACAAAAGTGTTTGAAAATTCAGTGTTATCAAACTATGTAATTGCCCATAAAACTCACTTATCTCATCAGAGTTCACTCGAAGTGGGTCCAATATTTCTGATTTCATAGGAACATCGAGGATCTCACCTGTAAAATATATGACAAATACTGAATATGATGATAAATTACTATGATAAAGAATATTTTAAACAAATGAGAAATACAGTAAATGGTTATCAAGATAAATTTACAAAAAGAACTCACCTGATCTTGTGAGTATAGGGTTCGAGTCATTTTTCACTGATAGAACAACGGAAATGTCACCTAAATATGAAAAACAAAATTATTATGTAAAAATATTATCTGAAGCAGTGACTAGCGAAACCAAGACCACAATTCACCAAACTTACTAGTTAAAAAAAAAGAAAGAAAAGAAATAGGAGTTTATAATTATAACAGCAGTAGTTAATTCAAAAATGGATAAATTAAAGAAACATGCAGAAAAAACAACACAGAACTATAAAACACTTATCATTAGAGAACCGATCAAAACAACAGAAAAAAAAATCATTAATACAAAATTTGTTAAAACTCTTACCTTCAGTTTCCATTATATTTAGTAATCTGTTCTCCAAAAGAAACCATCAATGAAATAATCATAACAATAACTCAGATGGAGGTTGCACTATAGAGAAAGGTAATATTCCAAAGAGCAATGACATGGGACAACAGATAGAATTAAGGATATTTCAGAGTAAAAAAATTTGCTTATGAAAGTTGGATTGATTAATCTTAAAAATCCATTGTATTTATAAGATAAGATTTTGAAAATAGCATACTTTTATTGTCCGATTTCAGTAAACATTGGGTGGGAGAAACATATTTGGTAGAAGAAGAAAAGTAGAAAAGGTAGCAGGTATGATAAAAGAATTTTTAAAGGAAATAGTACTGTGAGAAGCACTAAACAGGTTTGAGGGCTGGGATTTCGTGTTGAAGGAATGGACAGAGGAACAAGGAGTAAACGAATCGAGAAGGTCAGAGGATTTTTTGGTCGAAAAGGTTAGAAAAAGGAATACATCTGAGAAATATTGCCGTCGGAAGACTGGATAGAGCCACTTCAACTTGGCATACCACTTTGCGACGTGGCTTTGATCTTCTCAACATTCAGCTTTAAATCGTTGCTCACTGATCAACTATTGGTACTATCAATGTCTTCTTGAAGCCTTCGGATCACCATAAGCATCTTGGTAGGATGGAAGGATAGGTAGATTTGGAAATCGCCAGCATAAAAGTGATATTGTGAATGATGGATGGAATCAGGAAGGTCATTGATGTAGATGGAGAACAGAGTTGGAGAGAGCGAAGAACTCTGAGAAACACCGCGAGTTAGTAAGAGAGGATAAGGAGAAGTTTTATAAGGTATGATGACTGCTTGGGATCTTTGATAAAAGAAGGAATGGAACCATTTTAGAGCACCATTTGATATGGAAATGTTTTGAAGTTTGGAAAAGACAATGCCGTGATTGATTGAATCGAATGCTTTTGAAAAATCAAAGAGAACCAGGATAGAGATTTAGTTTGTCAATGGAGAAAGAAATGTATTGGGGAATATTCAACAAAGCAGAGTGGTTGGAGAACTGGGTTCGGAAACCTGACTGGAGGGGATCGAGATAAGATTATGACACTATTTTTACTTTCACTTACGTATATATGTAATATATAGTAAGGGTAAGTATTGCGATCGAGAAAATTTTGGAATCTGAGTTTTCAATGGAAATACACGTTTTGAGGTACCCTGAATCGAAATAATCAAGTCCCGAAAAATGGTCTATGTGTTTGTATGTTAGCAGTCTAGCTCAAAAACGAAAAGTCCTACGAAACTGATATGACGTATTTAAGATATTTGTATGCCTTAGATGTGACGGCAACTTTTTCCTTAAAATCAGCTAACCCGAAGTGCCACTTTATATCAACGCTGAAACACATTTTCACAATTTACTCAAAAACAGCTCTAACAATTTTGATTAAACTCGGTGTATCGTTGTATAATTAAGTGGTCTTTAATATCAATTAGGTCTTATCCCCATTGATGTCACTTTACAGGGCTTAAATGCCCAATGATCATATACGTCTTCCTCTAAAGTACCTTTAATATGGTTTATTTTAATAAGTTAATCATTTCACATTATTCGAAGTAATGAAAAAATGCTAAATATAACTTTTGAAAGAATTTGATTAGTTAATAAAGGAGAAAAAAAATGCAGAAAAACCTGCGTTGCTATAGAGTGTAGCGCCTAAACGAATGTGCCGATTTCAATGAAACTTCACTAAAGTCATTTTCTCGACACCCTTTAAATTTATTTATATAACATACTTCAACGAAAAGAAGCTGGAAAAAAAGTTACGAGGGATGGTAATATTAAATTCCGAATAACTCAAAAAGTATACACTTTTTTGGAAATATTGTATATGGTTTTTTTAATTTTTTGGAATTTCCTAAAAAAAAAAAAAAATCGTTAAGATCGGACTAGGAGGAAAGATATGGTCTCTAGTTTTTTTTTCCATGAAGAGGCGAAAATTTGTATAAATTTAAAAAATACTTTTTTAATTGTTGAGACAAAAAAAAACTTTTCTCTACAGATTTAATAAATTATCTTTCCTAAGAACATTTTTCATAAGGAATAAGTACCTTAATTTATACCTTTATTCTCAGTTCTATATTTCAACATTGCAATCACCACCTCCGGAATCAACTTACTCATATTCTGCATAAATACCTTTTTCAACTAAAACTATCACTAAAATGACATCACTCAAAAATGTTGAAATTGGAGTTAGTCATTCTGAAGTTTATAAAAGCAAAGTAAGTTGTGTGGTTTATAAAAGCAAATGGAGTGACTAGATTTTTATTGCCTGTTGTCGATATATTAAATAGACATTTTGTAATTATAATGATCTTAATGGATTTTTATCTGTAAGCTTTAAGCTTTAGTTCCGTTTAAAATGCACTTCAAAAAAATTTATAATAGCCCAGTTTAAAATGCACTTCAAAAAAATTTATAATAGCCCAGCATTGCCAGAAAATAATTTCTATTGATAGTAGATCGGTAAGTGAAAATTGTGTGTTCCGCGCAGGAGATTTTTTTTTTTTTTTTTTTTGAAAAAAGACTCGTCTACTTCAACGCTTTGCCATGCCCTCCATTTTTTTTTACTTGGCCTGTATAACATGCTATGGGCACAAATCTCTCTTAAAAATTTGTTCCACGTTACCGTATTTGGCTTGGATAGTTTCAGATGCTCTTTTCTCCACTGTATTGTTGTTAAATTATGGGACCACCCATATGTAGAGTTAAGGCCAGCCCCAAATTGAGCGCAGGGCAGGCGCAGCACAGGGGCAGTTAAGACGTGATATAGTTGTAGCAGAGGGGAAACTGAGTACCCGGAGCAGAGCCATCTCAGCTCAGTATTGTCCTAGTTCTCGCAGAGTTGGGAAGTTAATTAATTAATAACAAATATTTATTTTAGAAGAAAATGCCACTTAATAATAAAATTACCTTGGGTACTATAAAATCAACCACGCTGTCACTAATAAGAAAAATATTCCTTTCATTAAAAATATCTTCCATTTTCGTTTCCATGTTGATGTATTGGATGACAGTCTCGCGAATTGATTTCTTATTAATTACTTTTAACCTTTCTGAGTCCTTCGATTTAGAGGTATGTTATTACGCTTTGGGGCGAGGTCAGTAAAACTAAGAGGTTCGCTCACTCAGAGGGAAAATGGTGGGAAGGAATTGAGTTCTGACGTAGCCAAAAGACTGATTTTAGCCCTCCGGCCTTTGTTTCTGGACATTTTAAGATTATTATTTACTTTTCTACATTAAATCAGTACTGTATTGCCAAATAACTTATTAATTTTAATAAATTTGAAAGGTGAAATAAAGGTTGATTTGATATTTGGTTTATTCTGAAGCAAATAAAATGTAATTTAACAAGTTGATGTATGATTTTTTGCAAAGTACCACAATACTACTTTTTAAATATTTCAAATAAATACAGAGCATAATATAAAATAATAGAAATATTGAAAAAAAAAAGACAGAAAAAGTATTTCATCTAACATTAAAGAATCCTTTTCTTTCTGTGAATTTTTGTAAATATTACATTTGTATGTCATAAGTAATCCTATGTAGTGATTTTTCTCAAGTTTTTTGGTTTTGATTTTATGTTTTCTTGTTGTAAAAATCATTGGGTATTTAAAAATATGATTCTATTAAATACCCGTTGCTGAAAGAAAGGCTTTTTTCATTTATTTTTACATTTTGTTTCCTTAGAAAAAGGTGGTAATTTTTTTTACAATATTTGTTTTGTTTTTTTTACATTTACATTTTAAAATCCAACCTTTTATTCGAGGGTCCTTTGGAAAAGTATGAAATGAAATTTTCTTTCCCATCTTCTTTGTGTCAATTAGATTATTGTTGCAAGATGCAACTGCGCATTTTGTACCTGGCATTCTATAGGATTCGATTAATAATTATGTTATTATGAGAAATACTAATAAGAATAAACGAATTCTCTGTAAAATGTTATTAAAAATAAAAAATAAATACTCGTTATAATATTATTTCAGAGATGGATAAGTAGTTGACTGTTAAGATTATAAGGTGAAAATAAATTATCAGAATTTGCAGTACAATTTGTTTATTTTTTTAAATAAATTTATTTATTTAAACAGATTTTTACTGCAAATTCTGACAAAGATCTTCACCCTTATAATATTATTATAATATCGTTATAATATTAAAAGGGATTGGGAGAGGAAGAGAATGAATTTCCCCACTGTTTTTTTTTATGATCCATACTTGGTAAATTACATTGACAAATTGTATAAAATTATGACCAAAACTCTAGATTCACAATCAGTGGTGAATTCCTATATAAATTTAACAAGTAGTATAATTAGTACCTTGATAACATTATAATATACATAGTATAAATGCAGCTATAGACTTTTTTGAACTTTAAGTGTAAACATTTAAATATTGGTATAATTTTATTTATTTTTTTGGATTAATCTAATATAACTACATCTTATCTTACCAAAACACATTCAACATCCACCTAAATTTAAAAAATAGTTTTGTTTTATCTGTAGCTGACACTGTTCAATTTGGAATGTTGCCTTATCTGACAGGGATGAGAACAAGTAAGTTATTATGTGAATAAAGTGTTGAAATTTTATGTTCTTAGTTTTAAAATATATAATAATAAAAATTATCTTTAAATTATTATAAAACTAACTTTTTGCATTTCCCAACTTAAATTTATTGGAATAACTTAAATCCTGGACACTGTCAAGAACCTGCTATTAGAAATAGGAAAACCTATTTTTCTTTTTATTTAATCTACATCACTTAACACTTTTCTTTTAAAGAAAGAGTATTGAATAATTCCATTTTTAAATTTGAAGTATCCATTATATGAAGTAAATCTTTTCCAATTTACTTAAGTAAAAGCCTGTCAGCTGTTGGCTGAAGTACTAAATATAAGGCTCCAGTAGCACTTAAGTTTCCAATCATGTAAACAAAATAAGTTAAGAACAGATAACACATAATCTAAGGCACGGGCGGATCTACGGGGGGAAGGGCTTTCGGGCTGAAGCCCCCCTCCCCTCCCAAAATGGCAAAATATAACCACGTTTTATCGAAAAAAATATTAAAAAAGTATCTCTTAAAGTACTATTGTTCGTGTAATTAATATTAAAAGGGCTTTAGGAATCACTTAAACACCATTTCATACAGGTAGTTAGTTTCTTTCTTTTTTTCCAAAGTAATTATCGTTATTTTTATGAAAAAAAAAGCTTTCGGGCTGAAGCCCCTCCCCCCCAAAAATTAAATCCTGGATCCGCTAGTGATCTAAGAACACTAAAAAAAAATTGGTGTGCGCAACACACAACTTTCACTTACCGCTCTACTTTGAATAGAAATTATTTCTGGCAATGCAGGGCTATTATTATTATTATTAAGTGCATTTTGAGCTAAAGCTTAAAGCTTTCAGATAACAAGTTATTAAGACCATTATAATTACAAAATGTCTATTTATTATATCGACAGTAGGCAATGAAATTCTAATAAAATTGGAGTTCATCATTCTGTCAACCGAAAGGCTCATATATGTCTACAGAAGTTTGAAAGTATATCTGAACATTTAACCTATAAATGATTATGGATCGTAGGACTATTAGTAGTGTTGCGCGAAATCGGTATTGGTCTTGCACTTTGCAAGACCGAGACCAAAGCTGTTAAAAAAATCGATTTTTAAAATAAAAATTGAGGCAAAATAGTCACTAATACTTGACAATTTTAGTTACAATATGTAAAGAATTGGTGTAACCAATATATTTTTTCATTTAACTCTTCTACTGTCTCATTCAGACTTAGTTAGGTTTCTCATATCTAAAAAAATACAGTAATATCTCTCAAGTAATAAGCTAATAGGTAACTGCAAGTATGTTACGAGAGTTTTGCGCAAGAGCAACAAGACCTAGACCAAGACTGAGTTTGTAAGACCAAGACTCGCCTCGGTCTCGCATTTGGGAAACACTAACTATTAGTTATTAAGCTGTTATTTTCCATTTTAAGTTCACTAAAACAAAATTACTAGATTTTCATTGCCTTGCCATGGATAGATCAAAAGTTGTCTCACTAATTGTAAGTGGATAATGTTGAAATTTCATGAAGGGTAAATTCATCAAATTATTCACTAATTTAATTTTCTAATGTCTAATACTTGATGATTTTTTTTAAATAAACGGCCCATAGATACCTGATTATTTAAATATAATATCGTATCTACAGTTAATACTCTATAGTAAATATATTTGAGGTTATAAACATATCCATGAAATGTTTTTATATTTCCCTTCTTCTTTCACACGAGTACTATGAAATAGTATTTTAAACAATGACATTGGCTTGATTCTGTGGATTTTATATACTTTTTTTTCAATCACAGAAAAACATTTAAAATTTTACATATAGTAAGAAAATTTAATTTAATTTCCTTGAAAACATGTGATTTACGTTAAATAATATTAGTTAAAAAAAAATTTATTTATATTTTTTCGCAGCTCTCCGTTATCTTTTACAACTTTCTATATTATATAATGTTTTTTCTAAAATTCCTCGCTTTCCAATGATATATTACACTTATACCTTCTGATTTGTGTTTCCTGAGATCCATTTTCGACTTGTATAAGCATTTTTATTTTTTTCTCCTGTATTCTATTATCAAATTCTTTCAAAAGATATATTCAGCAGTTTTTCGTAACTTTTAATAATGAGATAGTTGATTATTTAAAATAAACCATATTAAAGGTACTTTAGAGGAAGAAGACGCATATGAACATTGGCCATTTAAGCTCTGTAAAGTGACATCAAAAGAGATAAGACCTAAATGATATTAAAGACCATTTAATTATACAATGATACACCAGGTTTAATCAAAATCGTTAGAGCCATTTATGAGAGAATTGTAAAAATAAGTTTCAGCGTTCATATTAAGTGGCACTTCAGGTTGACCGATTTTAACGAATAAGTTGCTGTCACATCCGGTCTATATAGGAACCTTAAATACTTAATATCAGTTTCGTACTACTCTTCGTTTATAGGCTAGACTGTTAACACACACACAGACCATTTTGGGACTCAGAGGACCTCAAAACATGTATTTCCGTTGAAAACTGAGATTCGAAAATTTTCAGGATCGCAATACTTACACTTATTATGTATTTCATATATAGGTAAGTGAAAGTAAAAATAAACGAGTTTTGTAATATAATTTAGTTTATGAAAAAATGATACCATCAACTACCAGTGCTTTCACCATACTATTAATTTTGGTGTTATAGAACATCTAAACCCAGGCATCGCTTAAAACTTGGGGTAGCAACTGCTTGGAGAATAATGGCTCAAGACTTTAGAATAAGGGACAATGGTAATACCACAAATAAAATCTGAACTACTTTGCCTTAAGATATTAAGTTGGAATATATTTTGATATAATTTATTATATTAATAATTATATGTGAAATAGATACCAAGATATTGATAACTTTTTAGTACTTCACTTTTTGGCAATTAATTAAATTTAAAGAGTGACCTATGATGTAAAAGTAGTTCAATCACAAAGTCAATGTCATCACTAAATCCAGCTATAGTGGACCTTAATTTTAAAAACTTAGTAGTAGTTAATTTTGTTACTGGGTAAATAAAAGAAATTAATTGAAAATAATTAAACTTTCTTTATTCAGATGTGTAGACTAGAAAGTATACATAAAAGAAAAGGTAAAAAATGTATTTACAAACACAATTATAAATAAATCTATCAACTAATATACTTCGATTGTACAATGACAACAGGTAAAATGCCAAGGGTGATTTTATACACATATGTACAATAAATAGAAGTAAAATGCATTCACAATTTGTAATTGGAATGGAAAATTAAAAATGAAAAAAAAAAAAAAAATCAGTCTAAATTAAGTAGGAAAGGAACTGATTTAATCAACTTCTTCCATCCTTGAGGCATCCTCAGCACTGCCTTCCAATGGAGGCATTTCAGCAGGAACAGATTCTTCTTCAGTCACCATGGTGTCATCCTCATCGATTCCTAATCCAAGCTTGATCATCCTGTATATTCTAGAAGCATGAACCTGAGGCTCTTCAAGAGTAAAACCAGAAGAAAGGAGTGAAGTTTCGAACAGGAGAATGACAAGATCCTTAACAGCCTTATCATTTTTATCAGCTTCAGCCTTTTGCCTCAGGGTGTCAACAATAGGGTGATCAGGGTTGATTTCCAGGTGTTTCTTAGCTGCCATGTAACCCATGGTGGAGCTGTCCCTCAAAGCTTGTGCCTTCATGATCCTCTCCATGTTAGCAGTCCAGCCATACTGAGATGTGACAATACAGCATGGTGAATCTACTAACCTGTTGCTGACAACTACCTTCTCCACTTTCTTATCTAGGATATCCTTCATGACCTTACACAAATTCTCATACTTGGCCTTGTCTTCTTCCCTCTTTTTCTTTTCTTCTTCATCCTCAGGAAGTTCGAGACCTTCTTTGGTGACTGATACAAGCTGCTTTCCATCATACTCCTTCATTTGCTGTACAACGTACTCATCGATGGGCTCAGTCATGTAGACTACTTCAAACCCACGCCTCTTGACCCTTTCTACAAATGCTGAATTAGCAACTTGGTCTTTGTTTTCACCAGTAATGTAGTAAATGTGTTTCTGGCTCTCTTTCATCCTGGCGACATAGTCCTTGAGTGAGCATGCTTCATCACCTGAGGCAGAAGTGTGGTACCTTAAGAGCTCTGATAATTTCTTGCGGTTTGTGCTATCTTCATGGATTCCTAGTTTCAAGTTCTTACTGAACTGTTCATAGAACTTCTTATAAGTATCTTTGTCTTCAGCAAGTTCTTCAAATAATTCGAGACATTTCTTAACTAAGTTCTTCCTAATGACCTTCAGAATTTTGTTCTGCTGTAACATCTCTCGAGAAATGTTCAGAGGAAGATCTTCAGAATCCACAACTCCCTTGATGAAATTCAAGTACTCTGGAATGAGGTCTTCACAATTATCCATGATGAAAACTCTCCTAACATACAGTTTAATGTTGTTCTTCTTCTTTTTGTTTTCAAATAGATCGAAAGGAGCTCTCCTTGGGACAAAGAGTAGTGCCCTGAATTCGAGCTGACCTTCAACTGAGAAATGTTTCACAGATAAATGATCTTCCCAATCATTGGTGAGGGATTTGTAGAATTCACCGTACTCCTCTGGAGTAATGTCATCTGGGTTCCTTGTCCAGATAGGTTTGGTTTTGTTAAGTTCTTCATCTTCAGTATATTTTTCTTTGATAGTCTTCTTCTTCTTTTTCTGAGCCTTATCCTTATCTTCCTCTTCATCTTCACCAACATCTTCAACCTTGGGGGTCTCGCTTTCTTCATCCTTTTTCTCGGCTTCTTTTTCTTCTTCAGCTTCATCATCACTTATCTCCTTGTCTCTTTCTTTCTCAACAAGCAGTTTAATTGGATAACCAATAAACTGGGAATGTTTCTTGACAATTTCTTTAATTTTCCTTTCTTCTAAATATTCAGCTTGGTCTTCTTTGATGTACAGGACAATTTTGGTTCCCCTGCCAAGAGGTTCACCTGGATCAGGCCTGACAGTGAAGCTGCCACCAGCAGAAGATTCCCACAGATATTGGTCATCATCATTATGCTTGGAACTGACGGTCACTCTGTCAGCAACGAGGTAGGCAGAGTAGAAACCAACACCAAACTGACCAATCATAGAGATATCAGCACCAGCCTGCAGAGCTTCCATGAAAGCTTTAGTTCCTGACTTGGCAATGGTTCCCAAGTTGTTGACCAAATCTGCTTTAGTCATTCCAATACCACTGTAACAAAACCAAACATGATATAAGTAACCTCTGATAAGTAAAATGATAAGTAACACATACAAATTTTAATGACTATAACTACAAAACTAACAGCAGCCCTTAAGTGCTGATGAATGACATGTTAATGATGTATTAATAATTAATTTATATATCGAATACAGAATTGAGGATTAATGACCATAGATGCAGCAATTGTCTTCAGAATTAATAGTAGGTTGCAAGATTTAATATGAGCCAAGTTGTGTCAAGATAGCAAATACAGTGAATTTTAAGAATGATTAAAAATTTTTAATTTTTTCTCATTTTGTAATAGGGCAATAAAATAGATTGATTTAAATTAATCTTAACCACTTAAAAATTAAGATTTGAGTGACCGAAACAAACCAGATTTATATTGCTATTAAACTAATAGGGCTCTATGAGTCTGGCTTTAATATAAAAGTAATTGATAAGAGAAATAATATGTATAGCAAATGTAGTTTTTTTTTTTTTTTTTTGTTTTTTACTCTTCATATTGTTAAATATTAATTAATTTGTCAGAGATATATCAAAAGTACTTACGTATCAATAATAGTCAGGGTGCGGTCATTTTTGTTGGGGATGATCTTGATGTAAAGCTCCTTTCCACTTTCAAGTTTTGAAGCATCAGTGAGAGATTCATACCTTATTTTATCCAGGGCCTAAAATAGAACATTAAATTAATTAAATAAACAAGAATAATTATATTGAGGAAACAAACTAGACTAATCATTTTAAGATCATATTAGAAACTCAACAACAAAAGATTATAAATCAGCATAGAAATAAGAATCAGATACCTAACACTGTTCAAATAACTACAAATAAAACAAAGATAAAAATATAGTACTTACATCTGAAGAGTTAGAGATCAATTCTCGGAGGAAAATTTCTTTGTTGGAATAGAATGTGTTGATGATAAGGGACATAAGTTGAGCAATCTCTGCCTGGAAGGCAAAGGTCTCAATGTCAGCCATTTCAACGTCCTCAGGCATCTAGAAAAAAAAATATATATATTAATTACAATTTAAATAATAAATTTTTTATAAATGAAAAAAGAAATTGATTAAGATCATTAATTCAGAATTAGTTACTTTTTTTTCCAGCAGTGAGATGTTAATATTTGAACCTTTCTCACTATTATCATAGTGCACTTTAGATAAGGAATTTTGGCATTATCTATGGCCAGAGATGGGTAAAATTGGAATGGATAATTACAACTGCAAATAATACTTAACCACACCAATTTTAATACTTACACATTAGAATTCTGAATATAGCCAAAATGAGAATTAATTACTTGATTGCAATCGAATTCAGAAACCTGATTATAATAGTGATTGTGTTATCATAATCACTGTAGCCCTAGATATTGCTTATGCCCATTTATATCTATGGCTAATAGCCAAATATTGATTGCAGGATTGGACAAACAGAAGCCTATGTTAGATAAAAGAAAGAAAACCCTAGAGAGTCAACTTCCTTAACACATTTGATGTAATGTTAAATTCTAACCAGGTCTTTGCTAACAAAGGAAATATAGACTTCCTGTAATTGTTAATTCTATCATGCTTTACTTAAAACATGTAATTCATAACTACATTTTTAACCCTTAATTTCCTGTTTTAAATTATTTTAATGTTTCAAATCATTCTTAAAGAATAACTAATTAAGTATAGGAAACAGAAGCCTTATGACCATGAGATAAGAAATTCAATGCGAATTTAAGTGAAATGTTTCCCACGATAAGAAGGGCAATTCCTATATTAAATTACAACATAACACCCAAGGATTTAATCAGTTGTGGTCCAAATTAGAACTTATATAAATATTAAATCAGCAAATACTAGATGGGCCTATGAATTGATAAAAATTTGCTGGAGAATATGTTAACAGTAAATACCATAGTGATACTTATAATCATACTTACATTGAATGAGGAGTAGACTTAGAAACAGTAAATTGTTAAGAGTAAAGAGAGCAGATCCGTACACCTCAACGTGTATCAATCCAATGACGCACCGGCGCGTCCCGGCCGGCTTTATAAACGATCTTTGGTTCTAGAACGTTCGAGACGGTCCAAAAGGTCTAGAACACGCCTAACCGGAGGCACCTGCTTCATTGATTTCTGTTTAAATAGTTGTTAAATTAGAAAAATCTAAGTTTGTTTTCTGTTTCTATAAAAAATATTTAATTTTAAAAACATCATTTGTAATTAAAAACATCGACTTCGTAAAAAAAATCAATGATAGGCATTTACTGGAAAGTCTGTTCCTCTTTCAAGTCTACGATAAATGAATTGGTTGTTACTTTAATAATTTTTTTTATCTCAAACAACTTTTAAAGTTGAAGCAATGCAATTACATTTTATGAAATATTGAAGAAAAAAGAAAAATCAAATCATAATTTGATTCATATCTTAGCAATTCATGAATATTGTACGTTCTTTTTTAAATTATGATCACTTTATTGTTAATTTGTAATATAATGTCCACAGTAAACCTTTATTGGTATGAATAAAATAGTTTAAAACTTACCACAAGTGGTTGTTTCCAAACCACGTGGTGTCTAACGAACGTTATGATGTCAGCATTTACTTGGATTAATTACTTCATTTGAGTTTTCGCAAAGCTATTTTAACAATAACTATCTTAATTCAACAGACAATAACCATATGTACATAGTTTGAAACTGTTTCTTCGTTGAGAAGACTTGAATTGTTTAAAAAAAACGGTTCAACTATTTCAGGAGAATCCATATAAGGATCAACTTCATATTTATAATACTTTCGTCTTGATTTCATTGTACCTTCTTCCAAAATGTATTACACAAATAATAAGAGTTCATGTAATTATCATTTCACAGGTGATCAAAATTAATTAAACAAAAAATCGTCAGTGGGCATACCTGAAAACGTGTAACTTCAAAATTTGAGTTTGGAATGACCGATTTAAGATGTTATGCGGTTAGTTAATTTCTTATTCAACATATATTCGTCCGGTAATTTTTTGCTCCAGCATTCACTAAATGCCTTCATTCTCTTTTATCTCTGGTAAAAATTAAAAATTTGAATTTTATAGGATTAAAAGAATAGGAATCAATTATTTTCTGCCCTCATTATTTAGCCATCACATGATTGTTAATAAATGTAATTAACAGATGTAGATTGAAAAATAAAAGTGAAAACAATTTTTTTCTGTAATATATAAAAGAAAATTTTTCGTCATTTTGCTATCGGTGATTATTTAAGAAATGACGAATTTTCGTCATGCGGACAAAATGTGTTAAAATACAATTTACCATACACGTTTTGATAACATTGTAAAACGGTGAAATAGATATTTATAAATCCAAAATAGCATTTTATTCTCAGATACACAATAGCAATCCAAAATAGCATTTTTTTTTTTTCAGACCCACAATAGCATTTTTGTTCTCATGTACTCCTCTTATGCATAGAGAAGATACAAAATAACTTTTTAATTTAATATAAAACAATTATTTTATCTATTTGCTACGTTAGTTTAATGTAGTTATTAATATAATTCCTATTTAGGTTACTTGAATAATAAAAAAAATATATTTCGAAGTAGTTTATAAGGATTTCAAGGGTTATTGATCCAGGTAAGCAGAGGTCTAGAACATTCCACCAAGCCATGTTGAATCCCAGAGCATTCCATTTTGTTCCAACTACAATAAAACCTACCAAAGGTTTCCACTTTTAAAAATAAAATTCATGAAACATATAATTATATTTTAATGAAGTTAATTAATGTTTCATATTAATACAAAATAAATTCATCAAACATAATAATGATTCAATTAAAATTATATGAATTAACTAACACAAAATCAATGTCTTAGTATATGTTGGTCTGATACACAGTTTAATATGACACAAATTATATTATTGTTCTTACATATCTTTTCTATAATCAATCACAATTAAAAAATGTTTACCTAGACATATCATTAATTTTAATAAAGTTGAATTTATGCACAATAATAAATAATTATGTACATCTTAACCTATAAAGTTTGTTTATGTCTTGTATTGTTTGATCAGATATATAATATATCAACTCAGAAAATAAATAGGTTTAGGCTAAATGTATTGCTATAACTCTATTACAAACTCATAAAATTTATCACAGATTAGAGGTATTATTGCTAGCTAACTTTAACTTCAATATCAAAAGATCTTAAGCTTGAATATATTTATGCATTTTTGGCATGATATACTTTTATAGAAGTTATTACATTATTATTCTTGCTTAGTTACTTTAATTAAAAAACTTAATACGTGAATATAAGTTACCAAATAAAAACAACTTTCTCAAGTTTAAAACTTTCTTAAATTATTTTTTATTACACTTTTATTGAATTCAATTTAGATTTAAGTTACTTCAGGATTTTATATATATATATATATATATATTATATATATATATATATATATATATATATATAGTATATATATATATATATATATATGTGTATATGTATGTATTAGTATTATAGTGAGTAGTTGTTTTTATTAGTTTAGTTTATTTTTGTTTGGTTTAGTTTGTATACATTTACTTTTAGTATTAATATTTTTCCTATATTATTTATTGTTGATAAAGCATGAATGTGCTATCTAAACACTATTATAAATGTCCTTATTTGTGACAGATTGTAATATCTCTCAATAAATATAGTTATTTGTGGGAAATTTAATGTTATATGTTCAGTACATTTTCATCTTTCTTTATCCAACTGCTGTTACTTCATTTGTAGCCATTATGAAGTTGGCCATAAGTTTATATGAACTCTATAAATTTTACTTCTTAAAATAAATAAGACATTTTTAAAATGAGTTTCATATGTTTAATGGGCTTCCACATTTGTTGGTATGTTTCTTTATTGCCAGGTTGATATAAACATATTAATAGACTTTATGTCTTATTAAACATTATGTATGATGTTTTACGTTTCAAGTTACTTCAGGGTTATATATATAAAAATATATATTCGTATTTGTGGTAATAATATGTTCAGTACTACATTTTCATCTTTCATTATTCCACTGTTGTTACTTCATTTGTAGCTATTATGAAGTTGGGCATAAGTTTATATGAACTTTATAAATTTTACTTCTTGAAATAAAGAAGAAATTTTTAAAATGCATTTTATATGTTTAATGAGCTTCTACATTTCTTGGCATGTTCATTGTTGCTAGGTTGGTATAAACATATAAATAAACTTAATAACTTATTAAAAATTATGTATACTGTTTTACTTAAATAAAATAATTAAATATATTTCCAAAGTCTACTGAATGTATATCTCCATTTCCTGATTTGATGTTTGCTTCAACCTTCTTAAAGAATAAAAGCCTGGGATCAACCCTAAACTCATGAGGCAACTCGACCAATAAAATGGGGTGTATAATGAGGGTCTATTTATTTATTTATTTATTGCTAAATAATCATGCAATATTTTACAGTAAAATAATACATGATACTTATAGTAAATTACAGATGACTATTTTCTCATTGTTAACGATCTCATACATTAAGTAGACACCAAATATTTCCACAAAGTTAATTTTATATAACAATGTGAAAATCTGCGAAAAAAATTAACGTTAAATGTTCTTTTAAAACCTGTATCACTATAATCCATTAAGGATCTTGGGTTCAATACTATTTAGGAAAAGTACTGTTTCTTAGTTGACGGTTGTGCAAAGAGATGATTTGACTGAAATCACGCTCAACTGCCAGGTTTTAACCCTTAATTAATTATTCAATTAAGGGTACTGACATCGTAGAGACTGAGTGTGCTTCAGGTGGGTCTTCTAATCCCAGGGCAGCCCCACAGCTAATCAAACAGAATAAATAATTTTTCTGCCATGAAACGAGATTCGAACCAAGGACCTTAAGTATTGGAAGGTCAGTGTCCTACCACTGAGCTACCCCACTCCCTTATAAAATACTTTTACCCTTAAAATTACTTTAAAACATGACTAACATATATTTAGTTTGTAAATATTTCGTTCTTGTGCATTATGTTATCGTGATTTTCCACAATTAATTGATCTTTTTTTCTTTCAGTTATGTTAAAATTTGTCTAATTATAAGTTTACTCAGAATTTTTTTAATAATTACTAATTTTCATTTTAAAATAACATAAACATTACTAGCTAAAGATAGATAATAGAATCATGGAGAGCCTACTTCACCAATTTCAAACTCCTCAAGTCTCAGTTGCTGTCCAAAATGACTAAATAGAAGCTTCATTCATATTAAGACCAATAATAAAATTTGGACAAAATTAATTATAACTAATAAAACTAAAAAAGGCTTATACAACTAATTAATTTTCTTTGTAATTTCAAACAACAAATAATTTTTTTTTTCAAATACTTTCCATTTGTTTCTGTAAGTTTCTTAAAGGTACTTCATCAGCTAGGTACATTCCAGAGCTCGGCCCATCATACAGTATCTTAAGAATTATTAACAAAATTAGTACTTTGATCAAGTGATTTTGATATCTGGCTAAATTATGGTTTAATAGAAGGAATGATAAAATAAATAATTATTATTATTGTGTAAGCTTATTATTTTCTAGAGTTGTTTGATTTTCAATATGAATTTTGTTAACAAAAAGGCTAATTTAATCCTAAAAACTCTTCCTTGATATAGTTTTATTTAAATTACTTTTGATGTATTTTTTTTTTTTTTTAGTAAAGCATATATACATACATACATACATACATATATATATGTATATATATATATATATATATATATATATATATATATATATATATATATATATAGATATATATATGTTATAAAAGCTATTTGTTGTTTGAAATTACAAACAAAATTAATTAGTTGTATAAGCCTTTTTTAGTTTTATTAGTTATAATTAATTTATTCCAAATTTTATTATTGGTCTTAATATGAATGAAGCTTCAATTTAGTCGTTTTGGACAGCAGCTGAGACTTGAGAAGTTTGATTTGGTGAAGTAGGCTCTCCATGACTCTATTATTTATCTGTAGCTAGTAATATTTATGTTATTTTACAAGAAAATTAATAAGTAATTATTAAATATTACATATATATATATATATATATATATATATATATATATATATATATATATATATATACACATGTTTTACTAAATATATATATATATATATATATATATATATATAAATCACCCTTTCTTAAAAGATGTCATTACCTTCAAATATTTAATAATACTAACTTATGTATAATATACTAAAACCTACTCATGTGTACCCCACAAAAAATTAAATCAAGCTTCTTTTTTTCGTTTTGTCATATGTAAAATAGAATTTTATTCCCCCTTTGTTTTCTTTTTTAAGTGAAAACTTCTTTAGACGTGATTTGCACTTTTGTGTGGAGAGCGAATTAGATTGATCCATCAGATTTGAACCCTCGGGTAAAGTCAGCTATAGTTGGCTAATTGAAATGTTTTTACATATGATTTAAAATATCTCAGAAACTAAAAATTGGACCTGCATACTGAATGTGAGGAAATAATTCAGCATTTCATCCTCTCTGCAATAAGCAACAATTCAAATACGCAACGCCGTATTAGGGAGGCAAAAAGGAAAACAATTGTGTCAAAAACCCAATGATACCGAGATTAGTTGAATATATGGATTAAAATATCTCAGAAGCTAAAAATCGGAACTGCATACTATAAGCAAGGAAAATGTTCAGCATTTGACTCTCTTTATAATGAGCTAGTATTTATGATTTATATTTCATATTATTAATCTCTCCTTATTGCTGTTTTCACTTCTATCATGTGGTATAAAGCACTCACCTTATTTTTTTTTTTACAACCAATAATATCTTCAAAAACTAAACCTAATAATCATTGTATAAAATTAGTATATATGGGTCATTTTTGAATTCTTTGTACAGTATAAAAATTCCCACTTGGTTCTATCTGATATCTGATGACAAAAAACCGAAGAGAACATTTGACACAGTCTTGATTCCAAAAAATATTAAGGGATTTACAAAGGGTTAGTAAAACTTTTTAATTTAAGAAAGTTGGAGGGCGACCGTCCACTGGGGAAAGCCATACTGGCCGAGATTACTCCCAAAATTGGGTATCTGAGGATTATTGTTTAAAATAATAATAATAGCATTGAATTACTTTTGATGAGCAGTAATTATTAAAAAAATGTTATTTAAGTAGTTTTTAGAGGTAAGTTGATTATTTGGAGAATCATCA